GAAGTTACCAAAAATAGCCAATTGAAAGGTCAGAAAAGATAAGAGTGAATCTGATATTTACAAGCAACAGCCCAAAACTTTCACTAAATATCACACAAAGCTCAGATCGTAACCATAACAATATCTAAATATTAGATGGAAAAGGACGTTGTCAGCTAGCTGCTCTAGAACATGATCCAAACAACTTTATTCTCACCTCCACGGAAAAGTCAGCAGGATGTAAAATTAGCTGTGCTGAATCCAACCACTTTGGCACTTGTGAAGGAAACCTCATCGGTCAAACTGGGACAACCTTAAACTTGTCCCATAAAACCACGTTGCAGGAGGCTGGTGGGGGCTGACAAGAGGGGAACTTCTCTTTATCAAAGTTTCTTGTAATGAATAGTATACACTGTCACATTAAACTGACATGAAAAATTCTGTACAAATCTATCTGAAGCTGTACAATGACCTCTGGATCTGCAAGACTCCTGGTTACTGTTTAAAATGGGCACTAGGAGGTTAAAAATCCTGCTCCTTCTCAGAGTTACTTACACCGCCTTAGAATATTAAAAGTAAAATTTTAAGAACATCTGGTTTTCCTTTCCACTCCCTATGATATCATGTTTTCCAAGCTCACTTGGCAGCTTACTGTAAAGATACAGGCAGACTAAACATACAGGGCAATGTAGAGTCGAGATGAAAAATTCCAAAGCCTGGATGCATTGCCTTTCCTATCTCTAAATTTCAGTTCCACAAGTGGTATAATAAGGGTTTTTTCCCCCCATGGTAACTCATGTATTCTCCAACCACCTTCTTCCTTGATGAGATGAGATAGCATATACCTGCCCTCTAGAGTTTTGGCTGTGTCTTTGTACATAATTTTTCATGTACTAGGGGATAGTCAGAATCCCTATACAGCAAGATTCAGTTAGAGGAAAAATAATTATGTTTAACAGGGTCAGATTTGTGTGTACTTTATCTTATTCTGGGAGAAGAGATTAGCCTTCTATATTCCTCCTGCCTAAAAAAATCTCACCCAACCAACCAAAAAAAACCACCCCAACACCCACACTCCAGCCACTGCCTTTTTACTGCTTGGTTTTGTGCCACCTAGCCTGGAACTGGGAAATTTAACCAAACTAGTACCATGGGACTGTGCTTCCCATGAATTTACACATGATGTAAACAACACAGAAGAGTGGCTGTTATAAAAACTAAGAGCTCCTATTTGACTGGTTTCTCCCATGTATTTTAAACATATATTGATGCAAACTTTGTGGTTTTTTTCCTTTTTCCCTATTTTATTATTTTTGCTGGATCACATTCAAAACAGATCAGCACTAACAAACCTTTAAGCTTAGCACATGCTCACATTTTCTTGATGCACAAGAAGGCATCTGACTCATTTATGCTCATTGGTGAAGGAGCAGCAAACCTAGAAATTCAATATCAGTTTCCTGCTCTAAATCTTAATTTCTCCATTTTGTAAAAAGACAGTGAGGAAATGCAAAGTGATGCCTTGGGAATCCTAACATGACAGAGTCTTTGGCTTATTATTTCTCATTTAAAGCAATTTATCTCGTAGTAATTATTAAAGTGTACAAAGGTGGAAAAGGATGTATTAAAACTACTGACAAAATAATAGTCCCAGTGGTTATGCCCCGATTAAAACTTAATGACTAATCAATACAACTATAATTATAACTTTCACCTTGATGTAATTTGGAATAGCTTTTATATTTCTATTGATTGCTACAGCTTTATATAAAACAAATGTGAGACTATCTTGCTTTGTGCTATTTTCATTACAGGTCTATTGTAGCAAATCTCTAAATCCCTGTCTCAATTATTTTACAGCTTAGTTCTCCCATCACACCAAGAGCAAAAAGAAAAGCTAGCAAGAAGCAGAATCCTGCTAGCTGAAAAATGGCCATTACAGCATCACAGTTTCCACACCATAATGTCATATTGCCTTTGCAGTGGCTGTCACCATATATTTCTCTGGCTGTAGAGTAGCAAGAGCCAAGCACACAAGGAGCAACTCATTTAACTATGCTGCATCTCCATTTGTCAACCTGAAAGTGAAAGCAGTAAGTGCCTGAGCTGTAAGGGTCATGAGACCACCTTGGAAAAAATGGGCAACAGGTTCAGTAATCATGCAAGGAGTCATCTTGTACCCAACTGTTCCTTGGCTGCTGGTTAAATTACCAAGTTATAGGTTCCTCACAGAACCCTCCCAGGCAGAGGAAGTATACTATAAATAACCCACTTGTGAAAGAAAATACTTCTTATTTCAGTGGATTTTATTGCAGAGCACTGGCACCTCTTCATGGGCCCAACCATCATTTTGCTTGATTCTGAAACAGCACTTAAGAAGCTTAAAACACCTCCTGGATCTGCTGTTCCATGAGGTATCAGGCAAACAAGGAATTTAAGGGCTAGGCATTGCTACAGTGGTGAAGAACCTCTTGCTGATTTCTAACAGTCTACACAGAATTTCCTTGGAAGTAAAGTTCTGTGCGTTGTCTTAATTAATGCCATAACCTGACAGCACAGGCTCTAATCAAGATCCAAAAGAATCTACCTGAGGCAGCAACACAAACATACCCCATCCAGCCCTAAATCTATCACCTCCTATCTACTCCTGCCTGCAACCACTACCAGACTGGTTAGTAGGTGCTGCATTCACCTATCTTCATGTGCTGGGTATGTTAAATTAAGTTCCCTGGCTAAGTCCCATTCAATCCAATCAGTAGCATTTCCATAGAAGGATAAAAATTACTTGGGGATTGAAGCTGAAGCAGCAGTGATCACACAGTGCTAAGCTCAAACAGCACAGACCCCTCTGCACTCCTGGCAGCCTGGGACCACCCCACAAGTAAGCTAAGCCACCACAGAGAGTGAAAACACACAGCTACCTGTAATGGACAGCAAGAAGCTGGTGTCAGAAGTGATGAAAACACTCAGCTAACAAAAGCAGCATGTAGAACCACAAACACATTTTTCTGACCCACATCATAGGCTAAGATTAAGCTGCAAAAGATCTCATCTCATACAGACCATTTCCCTCCCTCAGACTTGTGGAGATACAGCCATCTGCACCCTATGCCATCACTGCAGGGCCAGGAACACCCAGTGTGACAGGAGCAGGAGGAAGGTGGTGTGCAGTGCTGGCTGGAACAGCAATGAGCTGTTCACAGCTGGACACCCAGCCCTGCACAGGGCCAAGGCACTCTGCCAGCTCTGTAGCTAGAAACGAGAGAGAGGAGTATCAGGGGAAAGAAGGACTTTGCTGAACCTGGACCAATTTGATTCAGCTAACCCAAAGCAACCTTGCTCTTTTTGTTTGCAAAAAAACTCAGAAATGTTTTTTTAAAACACAACATTCAAACTTCTAGGATACATGTGGATAGAGAGTCTTCAGTATCTACTTATAGACAGGTCTGTGTCTGGATCAGACAGGAACAGTCATCTTTTGATCACTTGGAAAAGTATTCTCTGTCAACACTTGCTACCATCTATTTGCACAGGAGGTTCCTGCTACAGAGTGTCACATGCCAGCTCTTGCCAGAGCTAAATTTTCAACTCTGGATATATGGCTTGTCCAGTCACCCTGGTATTACATGCTGGCAATGAAATTAATTTTATGATCTTAAACTGGAAGATAAAGTCACTTTCAAATACTGCCTTGACATTTGCTCAGTACACTGAAAACATTTCCTCACTTCAAAAAAAAAAATAAAATTTAAGGAGCAGTCATTATAAGCTGGGAAACAGCCTAGACATACAAGACTGGTAAGTCACAAGGGCAAGGGGTATTTTCTTACTTACGTTCAATATGTTAACGCTACTTCATTTGTAATTTACATAAATATAAAGTAAATATAAAACAAAACCAATACCCACCTACACAAACAATTCATTTCTACAAAGTCCGTGCTGTTAATAAGGCATGGACAACCTAGGCAGCAAAAGAAGAGATGCTTTTCTTGTGACCTTCCTTAATGATCTAAAGTGTTCAACAGAATTTGGTCCCAATTGTTCTGGGTATTGGATAAAGCTAGGCAAAGCAAGTCATCAGTTGCAGCTCCAGGAGTAATAAATAAATAAAGTAATGGATTTTATGGATAAGAAAAACAGCAGCTTTTCAAGAAGTAGGTGGAAAGAGTTTCCAAAAACCTTGTATATAGAAATTATTTTCATTATTCACATGTATCTTTATCCTGCAACAACCTAAGCAACACACTTAAATTAGGGGCTACAGCCATCAGAGAAACCATGTGAAAAGTTGTCACTAAAATATACAGATGTCCATCCCACAGGAAGAAGCTCCACTGGACTACCCAGCACACTCTGCATGGAGACAGGCTCCATCCAAAAGCACTACATGGTCTGGTAACTGAAGTTACAGGGTCACCAGCCTCCCCACCCTGTCACGTCCCTCTGTATAGCAACAAGGGGAGACTCTTCATAAATCCAACAAAATATTTCTGTAAATGGTGTTGGCTGAATATGAATGCGTGGAGGGAAGGAGAAGGAGAAAATTAGCAATTAATTAATTCTCATTCTCTACGCATCGAGGTTTCAGATGATGGCACCTACCTCCTTGACATAAAACATCACTGTATTCTGGTTATTTTTGAAATAAAGATCATTTCCATGACTACCCCACATGAAGCTGAAAGGCTGTAAAAGCCTTTCTTGAACGTTAACACTGACAAACAACGACTACAACATGAAGGTGTATTCATGTTTTGGAGCAATCCACACTTCCACTATTTACTGACTGAGCAAGACCAGCCAATAGACCTATTAAGAATTGTTACTAACTCATTCACTTTCAAACCACCTTTACAAGTGACAATAGTTCATTAAAAAATAAGTAACATTTTTCTAAGAACTGTCGCAAGCATAAAGATGGTCAACACTCAAAAAAAGTAAGATATGACACCAGACCTGAGTTTTCTTCATGTTTCCCCTCCTCCTACAGACATACAATGTAAGAACATCTTTCTTACCACTTCCCCAAGGGAGGCAGCCACCATGTGTGTTGCTGGAGTCAAGTAAGATGTAGAGCTATGATGCAGCACAGATTTCACATTCTCATAGGTGATAAAAAAGGCAGCAGCTGAAATTTAAGAACATATGCAGTCATTAACTGTTCCTCCATCACAGAATTAACATAAAAACATATAGAGGTGGATTTTGTCACCTATTACTCTGCAACTGTAGTTGAAGACAGGATATTTTTGCCCTGAAACAGTACAACAGTATCAACACAATTTGTGGGATAATTTCTTCAGAAGCCCAGGCTCCTGGCTGTCACTCCATTAATGTCAAAGATGTCAAGACTTAAGGCCATATTTTAGTATTGAGATAAGGAAAGATATGTTAATTAGTCATGGATGTAGGTTTTGAGAAAATTCTATATTCCATATTCTTAGATAGAAAGAGCAGGTCGTTTGGTTGAATTAGGTAGTCACTTTTTGGGGGAAAAAACAAATTAAAAAAAACAACCCAATCATCAGGGTATTTGATACAAATCTGCTACCCTGCAACATGCAAAACTGCTTCAGTAGCAATTGTTAACAACTTCTTCCTAGCTATTGTCTAATATTTTGCACTTTAGCTCCATAAAAAAACTCTTCCAAGCTTTCTCAAGGGCTCCAAAAAGTCCTGAACAGTGAAAAAGAAAAACACAAAACTAAACTTGGCACAGCAACACAAGCTGTACGTATTCACTGCAACAGTCAACTACAAAGGCACTTGCACCTTAAGGGTTACTCCTTCTCTGAAAGATAATTTCAGTTCTCAGTTATATGTTGAAAAGATAAAACCACAGTTCAGATTTTGAAGATGAAAAAACTGACATGTCTGGCGGGGGAAGAGATTTTAATTGTAAAGAAGGGCTATGCGAATTGCCTCCTGCTAATCAAAAGATGCTTATCACCTCAAGAAGAGATAACAGAGCAGACAAGATAAAGAACTGAATTTTTTTTTTTATATCATTTTATGAAGGACATCAAACACCTGAAGGTGTCAGTGGATTTGTCAGGCAAGTTCTGCTAACATCTACTACTGACAGCATAGCTTGCTGCTTTTTTATCCCTCCTTACAAAGATAAAATGGACAAAGGCACTAGGAATTTCAGATGCTTTTCTGCAGGGACTACAAGCATTTACTTTTCTAAGCTTCAGTTTCAAAAGTATTCCTGACGTCTTCTCATTTTATGTGTTGTAGTTGTTTCCAGGAGAAAAAGACAGGTATAGCACCCCCACAGCAATTAGCTCAAAGACCTCCAACTGCTCAAGCACTTGGAATTTTGATTCATTTCCAGTACCATGAAAGAGTGGGTCAGGTCAAAAATTCCAGAGAAAGCAAGACTCAAGCCCTCTTTGACACCTGGAAATGCTTTAGGGTGCCCCCACAAGTAAGGATAGGCTTATAAAGCATATCCAGGAACACTTCCAAGGAATAAGGGTTGCTTTTCAGAGTAAACATGCACCAGCCTGCATTCCAGGCACGCTCAAAGCATTTGTTCAATACTGCACAATTCTAGAAACTGCTCTTCACAGCTGGACACGGACTCACAGGCTCCAAACAGTTGCCTGCAGGAGAGGAAGCCACAGACATGAATGTCCTGTGCTACCTAACTTCCCACATTAAAAAAGATGAAGCATAATAAAAAAAAATTTTACCATTTGGAAAGGATCCTATAGCAGTGGAAGGAACGCCAGCATAGATGCCACGAAAACCACCAGCCTTCCTAAATCCTTGAGGACTCTGCAGTCTTGTTTTCACAGTATCCAGAGGAAAAAGGATCAAGTCAACACAGACACCAGCAACTCCACCAGCCTTCAAGACAAAATCATGTAGTAAAGGGTATTAATATTCATCAAGGTGAAGCTGTGGTGCTGATGTTAGTATCTGAGGCATGTCTAAACTGAAGCACTACTGACCATATCCTTTCTGAGGTCAAATTATAAACTGATTGTCTT